TAACTTGGAATCCTGAAGGGAAGCGGAAAAGAGGTAGGCGAAAGAACACATTACGTCGGGAAATAGAGGCGGATATGAAAAAGATGAATAACAACTGTAAAGAACTGGAAATGATCGTCTAGAACAAAGTTCGATGGAGAATATTGATGAGCGGCCTATGCTCCTCCTTAAGTGGTAACAAAAGTAAGTAAGTAAAGCAAGTTATGTACTAAACAACCATAAAAATTTATAGTTAACTTATTTTCATAGTTCTTCCATTTAATAGGTTAAAATTATTTAAGTGTTGTTTAACGAAATATCAATTTAGTGAATGAATAATAATCGTTTCGAACATGTAATATTTAAGTATAAAGCAAATTCAAAAATATCTTGAAGTAACAAAGAATAGCAAAGTAATCTGAAACATCTGCCAAATAGATTTAGATTTTATAATGCTCAATGTGTCCTATTAAAGTTCACTATAAAAATTTGATAGACGAAAATAACGTGTATGCCATATCATCATACTCTGTTCACAACTAATTCATTGAAGCAATGATGGATAGTGGCTAGCAGTGGAATCCAGGACGCGCGTTTCGCCCTATTCGGGACTCGTCAGCTGGATGTACCCGCATCTCAGTGTTGATGTTCACTCTGAGACTCGAACCCAGAACCATTCGCTTCAAATGCCATCGTGTTATCCACTCAGCTACTAAGTCCTGACAGCCATCATCGCTTACAAAAAGCTTGTGAATTAAGGCAATATCGAGGCATACGCACAGTATACACATATGCCAATAATAGACTGATCAATTGCAGTCTTAAACCTCAATGGGAATATACAAGCCAAACAATACCAAGTGAATTTAATTCATTGAAGTTTATTGAAATAAATTAATGCTTGGAATATTGAAAATGACAGCTTGATCAGTAATTAATCTAAAATGAAACATTTATTAATAAATTCAATGTCCATCCAACTTTCAAACTGATATTATTAATGTATGACATAAATGTAGTTGTCGAAGAAGCCGTTATGTATATCCCATCCAACGTATTTTCCTAATTTCCTCATCAGCTGGAAGCTGGTTTATCTTCTTTCATAGTAGACCAATGGATGCTGAGTACCTTGCGTAAACAACTACTTATAAATACTTGTACCTTCTTTATGATGGCTGTAGTAGTTTCACACTTTTCAGCTCCGTACAATAGAACTGTCTTGACGTTCAAATTGGAGATTCTGAATTTGATATTAGTTGACAGTTGTGTTGAGTTCCACATGTTCTTCAACTGTAGGAATGCGGCCCTTGCTTTGCCAATACTCGCCTTTACGTCTGCATCAGATCCTCCAAGTTCATCGATGATACTTTATAGTAAGCCCATTCAACTACTATATTATTTATCTGATCACTGTAATTCATACACTTAATTCACTATGTAAATTTCTGTGTGAGTATGAGCACATTTCTGCGCATCAATTTTTAATCTATTCTCCCACTGGTTGTAATAAACAGACAATCAATAATTTATCCATACTTGATTTACACTCATAAATATATATATGAATTTTTAACACTCACACACACTTTTGTTTTCCCTGTGTGCTTGCTTCCTATACGCTTGTGGATTTTACCAATCTTTAACAATAAACTATCTCTATAACTGATGTTCAGGCTTTTGAATAATCTCGAGTAAATCCATAATTCTACTAGGAGATTCAGCATGCATTAAATACTCAGTTAACGGGATGCTATTTATTGCAATCAGATATAGAGGATACTAGCCTCTACAACTTCCCAGGTACTTGAACGTTTCACAATCTCCAGAGCATCTCCATCAAGTGTGATTGAGTCGGTGTTCTCCGTGTTGTATTTGAGAATCTTGCTATTTCCTTCGTGTATATTGAGGCCCACTGATACAGAGGTTGCCGCTAAACTGATTATCTACATCTGCATTTGTGTATGGAATAGAAGGGTCAGGTCATCTGCGAAGTTCAAATCTTCTAATTGATTCCGAGTTATCCATTTTATTCCGTGATTTCCCTCATATGTCGAGGTCTTCATAATCCAGTCAATCACCATAGGAAAGAGGAAGGGAGAGACTAGGCAGCCTTGCCTGACTCCGGTCCTCACTAGAAACGCATCTGTCAGCTGTCCTCCATGCACCACTTTGCACTGCAGTCTGTCGTATGAATTTTGAATGATGTCGACGATCTTCTCAGGAATTACATAGTGGTGAAGAAGATTCCATGCAGTTCTCCTATCCACACTGTCAAATGAGCAGTCATAGTCAATGAAGTTGATGTAAAGTAATGAGTTCCATTCAATTAATTGTTCAATGATAATTCGTATTGTCACGATTTTGTCTGTACACGATCGATCCTTACGGAATCCAGCCTGTCGATCTCGAAGTTTGGCGTCTACTGCGCCTTTCATCTGATTCAGTAACACTCTGTTGAAAACATTTTCTGGTACTGACAGTAGTGTAATGTCTTTGTATTTCTCACACTTGCACAGATCTCCTTTCTTTGACTAATAGTTTTGCATAAACGTGATGAATATTCAATGGTTTACCACACAGTGATAATAATAATAAGATTATCAGAACTGTGTGATATAATAGCGCAATACATTTCGAACACTCTGATCACACATAATGTACTTGCTAAGAACATTTATGTATAAAAATAAAAGGTCAACTATAATGGGAACGGGGTAAGAGGAGACAAGGATAATAATAATAATAATAATAATAATAATAATATGAACACAATCTGAAACCTAATCACCCTGGATAATATGGCTCTTATTACTTCAAATATAAAATCTTATCACCTAAAAAGTTATAATCTATGCAAAGTAATTCATATTTTCTCTAATACTTACTACAAAATACAAAAAAATGTAACTACACCTATCTCTATGTGTTATGCTAGACATTGTTGTAAATAATTTTGGCACAACATTATTGAAAAGATTAAAAGTTACTGGATCATTTAGTTATGATCAACATTACACCTGGAACATATTTGCATTGTCTTTAATTCCTATACAAAATTACCACAATGAAATCAAATCCCCTAAATGAAATATTTCAGTCTTGTTTAATACGTTTTAAGCTATAGACTATTTTCGGTAGATTTTTTATTTTCATCCTTTTATTATTTCAATAAAACATATATATATATATAACAGACGTTTCATCAATGCTTTGTTGCCTACAATATTATTCATTTCACCTAAGGGTAAATTTTTAATATACCGTTTTGCAGATATATATGTATATATCTTTTCTGAATACTCAAAAATAGGCAAACTATTCAAAGGTCATGTGAATATATAGCTAATTAATGAAACATGCTAACATGAAATATTCTATTCCCATAAAAATGAAAGAAAAATATCCTTTAATTTAATTATATTTTTACATTTGTATAAACTAATGACTAAAATTCCTTTGTAACTTAAAACAAGAGATGAATTTATTATTTTTGTTTTCTGTATTGTAATTTAGTTGATTAAACTAGTGCAAAATGTAACTGATACTTCTGATTATGAGATCTTTCTAATAAAATAATACTATGTAAACTTTGTTTTGAGAAATGAATGTGAGTAGTATCATTTCAGAAAAGTTTCATCTAAAATAGATTATTAAAAAACATTAAAAATGAAAATAGAAAAACTTCAAAAAGTATACGATAGGTTATCAAGATTTATGACCGAGGTTATATTGATTTATGATTACAATCACACTATGTTTTAAACAAGTAATCAACATTCTTCACTGATACAAACAAATGTCTAACCGCTTACACACCAATCAAACTAATAGAAAAGTAGGTATCATTTTGCTATATAAAATTGTATGGACTATAAATTTTATTTTAAGGTGACTAAAAATGAAACGTTCGTAAATTAAAATTTCGATATATAATATTTGAGAAGTCAAACGGATCATAACACTGACTAGCAACATTCGCAATGATTTATACATGTAGCATAAATATGACTATATTTAATGTATTGGATTGTGACTAAAAATAATATCCAAGATACGCGTACCGTTTTTATTTGAGAATACTCACGTTGATTAATCTGCGAATAAGTCGTAGTGTTTATATGACAATTCAGATTCAATATATTTCCTTCCAATCACTATCATACAATCCACTAAGTTACTTAAAAGCCATAATCATCAGTTCGTCTGTACTTTCCAGTCCTTTTTGTTTATGACTGAGGGTAGTTATATCCATCTTACTAAACGTTTTGACCTATACGCGAATAAAACCTCATCAGTAATTTGTGGAAACATCAAGATACAAAGAACAATATTAGCTTATAGATAATTATATCACTATTTATGCAAGTCAAGTAACACTTCTTGAAAAGCTCTGTTTTCAAAATGATCTTTAAAATTTATGTAATAACCACTAAACAACTATAAATCTTTCGAAAATTTCAATATTTTTCTATGCATTAACATTATGGCAACTACAATTAAATTCATGGAAAATCAACTATGAAATAAAATAAACTTAGAAAACAAAAATTACCCTTCAAACTAAACAAACTGATCTTCTTCATTACTAAATTCTATTGATAAAACTAATGAAATATGTTAGTTACAAATATTTCTGTGAAAATTAATACTGTCTATTTTCTCTTTGAATTGAAATCACATGTTTTCTAAATAAATAATTCTATACCTTCTAGAGCTCTTTTAAATTGTAACTAAGACAGTTTTTGAGTATTGTTTAGTTATATTACAATTAAATAATAATAACCTCTGGTTATTCCTTACGTGAATAACATTTTAGTACATATTAATCATTTTTATCGTTAAACTATCATCATTTATCAAAACGTTTAGTGTTAAACATAAATAAACTTTAGTGAATCGCTATGATATATATATATATATATATATATACATATATAGACCAGTGGGTTATCTGCAATATGTTATATTAAGTAAAATAGCCCCATCCTAAATCTCGCTACAGTGCTTACAGTATTTTTTTTTTAAGCTAACCACCAAATTCTAGATGTAACACTTTCAACAAAAATTGAATTTTGACTGTCTAAATAATCCTGTCATCCATTAAATGAAAGCCAATGTAACATATAAAATCTGATTTTATTTCTAGACATTAAAAGTTATTAATTTCTAAAATACTCACTGATACATTCTTTTACTCCATTCAATAAATCCTGATTTATATCCACACTAAATAAATCACAATTATGATTCGATTTATTATTTTGAAATAATACAGAATCATTGAATTTTAAATTAGAATTTCTTTTACAATTATAAACATTTTGATTTACACATATCATAGATGATTTGATAATTTCATCATTTTTAATTCCAAATATATCATAATTTATATATCCATTAAAACCAAATACAATTTGATTTTGTTCATGCAACCATATTAAGATTAATAAAGTTTTACTTAATACAGATCTAGTATACAGATCTGTATACATTCGAAATTTCCAAGAGTTATAGTTCACACGATGATAATTGTGTTGTTGAAATTACATAGGATGTTAATTTACAGTTGACTTGAAATCATTACCACTTAATGGATGTTTGTATTTTAAAAGAAAGATCATTATTAGTTAAACAATAGATTATTCAACATAATTTTCTTTCTTAATTATCAATTTAGATCTGAAATTTTTCTGAAAAAATCATTTCTACATTCAATTTCAATCACTAATACTATTGAATTTACTCATCATGTTAACCAATGAGAATTCGATCAAAAATAAAATATTAGACAAAGAGTTTTTCATTGGTTAATTAATATAAATTATGTTTGATCGAAAATATCACATTTGTTTTTATGAATAGTTTTCCAGGTTGGTTAGGACCAAGGTACTTTATGAATAATGAAACATTTCTATGGATAATTACTGTGTTAATAATTTCAATTATGTAATTCATTTTTTTCCTATTCTAGCATCTGAAATATGCAATACAATTGCTATATATCAGTGATTGAAATCATGGGTCAATTGAAGTTAGACCACCATGGAAAAACTAGAAGCACTGGACGGCCGTTTCGTCCTGGTATGGGACTACTCAGCAGTGCGCATCGACGATCCAACACCCCGCGAGATGCAAACCCATGAGATATCAACTCACTGAAGACAATGGTGTACGGTGGTGCAACTTCGTGGATTGGTTGGTGTTAGACATTAACACCGTTGGATGCCGGCTCAGTGGTCTAGTTGCTTGAGCGCCTGGCGCTAGACTGATAGGTCCTAAGTTCGAATGTCGCGGCGTGCGGGATCGTGGATGCGCACTATTGAGGAGCCCCATACTAGGACGAAACGGCCGTCTAGTGCTTCCAGGTTTTTTATACTCATCTAGCTTCAATTGACTCATGATTTCAATCAGTAAAATTTCTAAAAATCTCCACAGAACCCCTTCTGATAGTTGCTATATATATATCTGTGATACTAGAGAACGTCGAAAATTCCCTTTTAGGATTTGTTAAATAACATCTCAATCAATAAAGCGGTTTATCTTTTACAAAGTATGTCAGAAAAGTTTGTTTCTTGAACATCTCATATAAATGAGACAAAAATCATTTCAACTTGTATGTATAAATAGATTTGTTTTATAATTTCCTAATAAATTGTCACAATATTATAAATTAAGAGGTACCCAAGATACTAATGTAATAAATTTAGTATGACATATCTTGTTTAAGAAGTACTTGATTGATATTCTGTAACTGAACATATATGGGCGTCGAACCGACTTATGTTTAATATAAAATACTTACAAAATTTAGAATATAGGTATTTTGATGAGTTATTTATTTGTTATTTCCTGTTTAACACAAATGAGCTCCAAAACTAAAAAAATGAAAGACACTTGAAAAGTATCGACTTCTAGTTAGTTAAACTGATAAGAACTGATAAATTTAAAGCTTATTACAATACAGAAATTTATTATGTTTTAAGTCATTTAAAACTATCATATTCAGCAACACGTTTAGAATACAAGTAGCAACTCGCTTTGGAGATTGAATGAGAAATTTATGTCTATAAATAAAAATATTTTTTGGAACAGTACTTGTATTATTGACTTTATATAAGCATAATTAAGAATCTTAGTTAGGCTTTTGAGAACATACGTAGTATTCTCTTAATGTTACTAAGGCCAAGAAGACAAGTATATTGGTTTTGTATGCTATACCTTAGTAATTACTTATGTCAGCAACCACCTGTGATATCTTACCTTAGAGTTACTTAATCTCAGTCTTTTCAGGATACTAACATTACAACTAATATAGAAAAATAATTTATGTAATTAATCATACACTTCATAATTATTAAATGGTCAGCAATTCCATTTGTATAAACTATGAACATTTTGGGGGAAATAATTAAGAAATCATAGATCCCAATCCTAGTAATCATCGGCCCCAAATAAATGAAATGAAGGGATGATCAGTAAGAGATACACGATATTTACTTCTGTTGGTAAACGTACTATGAGGAATGGAAATATATATATAACTAAACGAAATTATATTCCCGGCTGATATACCCATTAATTATATTAGCACTTTCAGTAAGGAAATTGCAAACTAAATACGTGTCTTTAATTTGCATTATCTCGTTCTTTGGCGCACTGTGAAAAAAATTATTCTCGATGTAAAACCGATTTTGATTAAAATTAGGCTGGAAAATTGAAAGTATATTATTTTAGTATCCACCTGTCGGAAACAGCCCGAAATTCTTTGATTATTCAAATGTTAAAGTTAGTGTTTACTATCCAATTGCTCGTATAATTCTGACAAAAATCCTGGATAAGAGTTAATCACTTGTGGGATTTCAGTAAAAATATACCGAAAACTTGTAAACAGCCTTTTATTAATATAATTTCTATAAATTAGGAGTTAATTGTTAATGAATCGCATAAGATAGTTAAGGTGCACATTGCGACAAACGCTCTCCAGTCAAATCAAGCAATGATGTATGGTAATTCTACCATTTAACATTGATTCGAGAACAACATAATCCGACACAACATAACCAATGCAATTTATTCTTTAGGCAGAATCATGTCCACTAAGGAGAACTCACTATGCGTCAGATGAAAAACAAATATTGTTTATAGAAGCATATCTTCAACGCAGTTTGATATAAAATGAAGAGTGCAGTAATTTTCAGCAGTTTATTAAAATGATCATTTGGTGTAAATATTTAAAGATTGTTATTGGTAAAATAAAACACATTTACGAAACGTTTGTAGTTCTTTGACTAGCCACATAAATTGTCTTATGCATAACACTCCTAAATACATATATGTTTCAAAATTGTCAATAATGTTGGGAATTAAATCAAGCTTCGCATCAATTAGCATCACTATTTTTTCAAATTTACGTGATTATACTTAGTTATATTACGTTAAAAAGAAGCAATAATGCTGCATAGTTAAGTGATAATTCACATCTTCACAACATAAGACAAATAAAATCTGTAAATTAAGATAAGAGCTACAATTATCTGTACATATACTCAAGCATTTGGTCAACTAGACAATTAATTGATATATATATATGACATGTACATTGATGCAGATATTCTTGCTTTAGAAACAAAAAGTAATCTCCCAATAGACATTTATTGTTTTTATGTTGCTAGATGCTTTCCTCCTGTTTAACATTTCTCTGCATAATATATTCACAATTTCTGACAGTATACTTGACATGTTAACATACTATTTTCCATAAAATCAAAAAAAGAGGAAAACTGAAGAGAACACACTGACGATTAATGGTGTACTAATTGTTTAGTATTTAGCCTTTTGACTATTATTTTTTACTTGTCTGACTTTATAAACATTTTTGTCTGCTTCTAATTATCTGTCTAATTTATCATTGTTCCTTTAGTAGTAAGATAATAAACCAATTGTCAAAACACTATTTGTTCATATAATCTTTCACAAATGAAAAAAACAACCTTTTTTGTATACATAACAGCTACAAGTACATGAAAAGATCCCTCTTATTATATACCATTCATGAAGAATGCTGTAGAAATTAATTTGGAATATTATTGATTGCCAAAATCTAATTTATCAAACTCAATTAAATTCGATCTTAATTGTTAAGACAGTTTAATAGAATGTGGATTACATTACACTACTGGTTATGTAAAAATGTATTTTGAAATCACTGATAAGTAACTCCTGTACTGAACAAGCTGATAATCATTTCCCATGGGATTAAATCACTGAATAACTAAAGTAACAACATGTTTTTATTATCCTGTTAATGTCAACAATTTAATTTTTTTAAAGAAATACATAGACGTTAAACAAACAACTTACATCCTACAAGTAATAAGCTAATATCAAAAACGTAATAGGCATATCTTACTTCTGTAGGTGTATATGTAATCATTATTCAATTTCTGATTATATGGTAGTTGTGTAATAATTTTAGTTATATAATAGGGTGAATTCAACTTTTTCCATATTGTTAATTAGTAATGAAATACTATGAAAGTATATCGTTTTAAGGTCTACAAATGTTTATAGCAAATTCATTGTTGGTGCTAAACAAAATGATTACCTTAAAGCTAATAGACAAATTATAAGTGAATAATAATCTCAGTGTATTAGCTTATGTTTATAATTATGATTCTTCAAAGCTGAAGTTAAATGTTTTGAAAAGGAATATCGTTTCAAGATTAAGTAACTACAACGGGTAAGTTAGTTTTCCCAAAGTGATAGTCACGCAGGGAGATTAAAAAAGTCAATTTGTTATGCCTTTAAGATCGATGTAATTCTCAATGGACCATTCACTTTCTATAGACGCTAATTTTCAAAACGATATACGATCTCAGTGTAATAAAAGAAAACACAGGTGAGGACAATCGAATCATATTTAGCATAAAATTACAGAGTTACTTGGTAAAATAGAAAAACCATACTATAATACCTAATTTGCAAAATGTTCAATAATCGTCTCGACCTTCGTTGCTCTTGCATTTCCATACTAATTGCTTCCTGTTCCCGTTCATCCTTTCTTGATCTTTCCCATCTTCTGCTGCCAGACATTACATTGCTGACTCGCGTCATATACTACTTATACCAATATAAGTAGCACGCACCACATTAGGATAATCAGTTATTGAACGTTAAAACTTACATCGTGCCTCTGTGAAAATAAGTTATTTTTATGCAAATCCGGCTTGATTCTACTTAAATATCTTCTGACTGACTGATTTTGTGGTCATTGAAAATATCTTAAATAGTTTCAAAAAACCTTTTGTGAGCCACTTGTATTTTAATTACTAAACCATTTTGGTGTTTCAAGATTCGAAAAAAAGATGATAAAATTATTCATGTAAATATTTTTCAGCACATAAAAGATGTGTCGAATCTATAACTTAAACCAAAAGTGTTCAATGACCATTTTGTTTCTGTACACAAACAAAAAAACTGCAATCACTAAACAATTTATGGTTGTATTTAATGATTACTATTTCTTCGATCGTCAATAGTAACCTTTAAAATTAGTATTCGGAGAAATTCAATAACAAACTATCAAAATGGAAACAATTATGTTTTGAAAAATGGTAAATTTTTGATGGATCAATAACTATCAACGTGAAGCCCTAAAAAACATTATTATCTTACAAA